CTTGTTAAAGAGTTTTCTATAACTCCACTACATCTAAAGTGGTTGGATGGGGATAGTATGCTAATAGGTTGAAAGAATTTTATTAAATAAATGGGATTGTTATTATACTACATAGGGCATGAAAATGAAAGAGAAAAAAAGTGACTGGATAAAAGGAAAAAGAAAGGAGAAACAGAGAAAAATAATAGGAAGGGGGAAGGAAGAAAGGCAGAAAATTAAAATGTGAGTATATGAAAAAAGAGAGGCTGTCAGTGTAGAAAACAGATGTAAAATGTATTATATAAATTTAATTAATACATTACCCAGAAAAAATAATGACAAGCAACCTCCCATTAAAAAGTAAACACCCAAAATCACTGATGTTAACCTAACAAAAAGGAAAACTAGAATATAGAGAACAAAGCAGTGTAAAAAATAAGTAAATACAAAAATATAAAGAATAAAAAAAACTAAAACAAAACAAAAACAGAAAAACTAAAGAACTAAACCAACAGAAGAAAAACCTGACCCAAAAGCAGAACCCATCCCAACACACCCTCAAAAAATAAAAATAACATACATTCATATACATGAACAAAAAAATATAAAATTTGAAAATAAGTCAGGTATGGAAAGTACAAGGATAGAGGCAAAAAATGGAGAAGCGATGAGAGAGAAAAGAAAGGGTGACAGTATAAGATAAATGTTGAAGTGAGTAAGAAGAGAAACAAAATGAATAGGTCCAATTAGTACAAAATTTTACATAAATTTAAAAAAACAGCCATGGGTAAAGACACCCCTCTGGAACCCTAGCTGTCCAGAGGGCCAAGGCAGTTTGATTACAAGGCAAAGGACCATTCCAGCTACCTAGGAAAACTCTCCTTGAATGGAATATTTCTCAACACTAAAAGCAAAGGGATTTGGGGATGCAGCTCAGAGGCCTTGTGCCAAAATTAAGCAAAATACAATCAATTATCATGTAACAACAGCAGAATAAATTTTAAAAAAAGAAGAAGTGGGGAAAGAGGGTAGGCAAGAGAGGTAATAGAATGGAGAGAAAAAGAAAAAATGAGTAGAGTATAATTAAAAATAAAAAACAACCAGGCACTGTTGCTCACATCTGTAATCCCAGTGACCCCAGAAGCTAAGGCAGGAGGATGGTGAGTCCAATGTCAGCCTCAGCAACTTAGTGAGGCCCTAAGCAACTTAGTAAGATCCTGGCTCAAAAATTAAAAAGGGCTGGGGATGTAGCACAGTGGTTAAGTGCCCCTGGGTTCAAACCCTGGTACAAAAAATAAACAAACCAACAAAAAATCCTGGTAGTATGGATCTGTCCAATTAATGCATTATTACATTATCAATAAAAATGCATAAGATTATGGATTAAGTAATACAATTTCCAATAGAGTCAGGGAATCCATTAAATTAATACATAAAATGATACCAGTCTAATAAAGACTAACAGCAAGGAATCAAAATTTATTCCTTGCTGATGTTTCTGAGATAAAGGTAATTCTTAGTGAGACCTCCTGGTTTGGACTGTCTGCTATCGGGAGGTGTAGTAGATATAGAAGTTTATAGTGGAACCTCAGAGTGACTCACCTGTATGTTTATTATTAGATCTTAGATTATTAGATCTTTCTACATCAGACTTTTGATTCAAAGGCTTCCCTGCACTCAAGTTCTTGCATTTTTCTATGCTGGTGTCCATTTGTCTGCCTTTGGTATGAGCTTATGTGGTTACAGAGCTTTAATGGATCATCTAAAAGCCGGTAGGATTGTTGGATGGAAACTTTTGAGTGTCTTCAGCCTTGTGGCCTGCTCTTTCCCAGGCTGGAAGAGCAGTTTGTGTTCTGAGTAAACACCTTGTCCCAGGGACTAGCTGAAAATAACTATTCCTTCTCTTTTTAATGGTAGTGGTTCTGCTGGTCTGAGAGATCCACCTGCCCAGTTTAAATGAGAGCCCCCTGCCATCAACTGGAGAAAAGATGGGACCTTGGGTGACCCAGAGAGTCTGTAAATCCCAGCAGGTGTGCTCACTAGCTGATAAGTCCTTGTTAACCCCATGATAATTTTTCACAATTAGGGCTTGCTTTTCTTTCTTGCTACAGGGCATTAGAATGGGTCTGAGAGTCTCTAAGGGTCAGTCCCAGGATATTGGCTGTGGTGTATTGCCTGGGCTGGACTATTAGTAGATATCCCAGGTAGGCAGCTCTAAAAATGCCACACTATGAACTGGTTTGCAGGTGCATGCCTGCAGCTCTGCCTCGACAGCAGCTCTTGCTGTCTGCCTGAGTAGCAAACGTGGCTCCGATAGATTTCCCCCTCAAAAACTCTGAACCTTCCAAACTGCCAGACTGTGGCTTCTGTTTTTAGGAATTGTCTGGCACTAGGCCACCCAATGATTCAGCCTTTCAGTCAGAACTCCCAATAGGGCTCTTCCACAGACCTGTTCCTGGACTGATTTTTGGGCTCAGAACCTACCTTTGCAGTGAGAAAGAAGAAAAAAGAAAGAAAAAAGATGGAGACTCATGGAGTCTATGTTGGATCTTGTGGATGTTGAAAACAGCGTAGAAAAAGTGTGGTGATCCCTGCTCTTCCGTGCACAAAGTTGCCCTTTTAAGATGGATCCTGGTCCCAGCTCTCACTTTCTCCAGCTCTCATTTTTCTCCAGCAGCTCTGATCCCGAGTCACCCCAGTTTGTTGCACTGCATTTAAATCTCCTTTATGTTCAAACAGCATATCTATATGATGGTGATGTAAAAAATTCTTGTGATCCATATGGTCCCCTCCCTCCCTTTGCCATTTTGCTTTCAGCACTTGAAAAGGGTTCTCCCCTCCCCCACTAAGCAGCCAGGCATGCCCTGAATTGTTGTAGAATACTCCACTTAAAAAAAAAAAAAAAAAAAAAAAAACTGTAATTTTTCTAAAACAAACAATAAAACCACAAAAAAAAACCCAAACAGAAACAAATAACAAAAACTCACGATATTCCTCCACTCCTGCTGACCGTTTTCTCTTTGTTGGGATCCAATTCATCTTCCAGCAGCTCAACAAGAATTTATTTTATTTTTAAATTTATTTGTTCTAATTTGTTATACATGACAGCAGAATGCATTTGGGTTCATAGTATACAAGTGGAGCACAATTTTTCATATCTCTGGTTGTACACAAAGTAGAGTCACACCATTCGTGTCTTCATACATGTTACCTAAGGTAATGATGTCCATCTCATTCCACCATCTTTCCTACGCCATACCCTCTCCCTTCCCCTCCCTCCCCTTTGCCCTAATCAAAGTTCCTCTTTTCCTCCCATGCTCCCTCCCTACCCCCATTAATGGATCAGCATACACTTATTGGAGAAAACATTTGGCTTTGATTTTTTGGGATTGGCTTACTTCACTTAGCATGATATTCTCCAGCTCCATCCATTTACCTGCAAATGCCATGATTTTATTCTCTTTTAATGCTGAGTAATATTCCATTGTGTATATCCAAGCAGGGGGCATGAATTATGCAGGAGGCTGTTACCCACCATTTTCTTCTTATCATTTTTTCCTTAAAATGAGTTAGCTTTTATTTATTCTAAGACTTATCTGAATTTCTAATAGTATAGTTGTATCTGAATGATGCTGAAACTTAATAGAGCCTGAATGAAAGCTTGTGGTTATTTAAAAATATGGTTTATATTTGCTTTTATACATGGTTGGAATTTTTGAAGAGTTTTATACCGATAGTCTTGTAACATGTATATTTCCTCCTTCATTTTCTCTTAGAAATCATTCAGACAATACTAATGATGGTAATGAAAACCTCAGGTATGAACATTTTTCTTTCCTACTTTGCCTTTGTTCCTTTTCCCTGAAGTCAACTTTTATGAATAATAGAGTATTGATTTGTATCACCTTCCTCTTGTCCAGACCTCAAATGGCAGCTTCCAGAAAGCTCTCTGGGTAGATCTCTCCCATATCATATTCAAAAAACTTAGAATTTATCCTTTAATTTACTGCTTTTGAAGTTACTTTGTCTCAATTTAATTTGTCTCAAATTATTTTTAACTAACAGATTGAGTATCCCTTTCCTGAAATGCTTGGGACCAGGAATGTTTGGGATTTTGGATGTTTTTCAATATTTGAGTATATGTAATGAGATATCTATATACAACTTATACTCATAGCCTGAAGGTGATTTTATACAGATTTTTAGATTTCAATTGACATATAATAATTATACATGTTTATGGGTTATAGTGTGATATTTTCATACCTGTGTACAATGTACATTGATCAAATCAAAGTAATTTATATAACCATCATTTCATTTATTTTGTGGGTGTGTGTTGAGAATGTTCAAAATATTCTTTTAGCTATTTTGAAATATACAATAAATGATTGTTAGCTATTGTCACCCTACTATGAAATAAAACACTAGAAATTAATCCTCTTAACTATATATATTTTTTCCAGTACTGGGGATTTAACCCAGGGGCACTTAAACACTGAGCTACATCACAAGCCCTTTTTATTTTTTATTTTGAGACAGGTTCTTGCATAATTGCTTCGGGCCTCACTAAATTGTTGAAGCTGGCCTCAAAGTTGCAATCCTCCTGCCTCAGACACCTAAATTGCTGGCATTACAAGTGTGTGCCACCATAACAGGCTTAATTGTAATTTTTATGCAATATTTTTGATAATTTTGTTCATGAAGAAAGGTTTCATGGTTTGTAATTTTCCATTTGTTTTATCACATTGGTTGTCAAAAAAATTTGGATTTTATAGCATTTCAGATTTTAGATTTAATTTTTAATTAGGGATGTTCAACTTGCATACAGTTTTCAGTACAAGTGTAGGTATTTCTAATGCCATTTTGCACTTGATGTCTGGGAAGATGTATCATTTAACTGAATTTTAGATATTTACTACAGCTCTATAGACTCTGTGTAGATCCTTCTCCTTTTGAGTATTGGCTGGTGCTATTAGGGACTTCTGGTCAAAAGTAATCTTCTGTATTCTTCCTCATAGTAGAGCATCTTTCTGTGAATTTAATGACCCTAAATTATTGGAGAACTTTGAGGATGGTCATGTAAGTCTGCTATTTTTCCCTTCAAAATGGACATGATAATGCTGTATAACTTTAAAACTTACATATAATTTCCTAAAAGAAATATAATTTTCTGAACCCAGTAGGAGAGAGTCTTGGGAAAAAAATGATCTATCAACCAAGAATTTCTGGTGCAAAGGAATTTTTTGCACCAATATAATGAGCTAAACACTGACTTTATTGTGTGTGCATTTAAACATCATACAAGACCTTTTACTATGTAGTTATCTATTTTTCAACTATCTTCTTTGTATTGCATGCCATCAATATCTTCATTATTCCAACATACTGATATACTAGATTTGAAATCTTGATCTTCTATAAAAAAGTGATCTTTTAAAGCATACATCCATACCTGTTTATTCTTTGCTTAAATACCCTCTGAATACTGGCACTGCACTAAGGATAAAATCCAAACTCATGACCATGGTCTTCTCTCCAACCTCATTCTTTGGCACCGTCTTTTGCTCAAGGTGCTAAAGGTCACACTTGTCTGGAGGCTCCACAATCACACAAAGCTGAAGCTTTCTGCTTCAGGTCCTCTGAACTTGCTGTGTCCTATGTCAGGTACAGGCCACCACAAGTGACAACTATACAAACAGTGAATAAACCTTTTTTGTTTGGATATTAATTTAACTGTCTCCTTAGATTCCCTGGCCACCTGTCTGAAATAGACTCCTCTTCTTCTGTCACAGGCCCTGTTTTTTTCCCTCCAGCTTCAAGAAATTCTATCTCCTCCAGGAGGACAGAAGCTCTAAGAGGGCAGGGCCATTCTGATGTCTCCCTAGACTCCTCTACTGTCCCTGACTCGGTAGCCACCCACAAACACTTTTTGAATCCATGATGTTTCTTGGCTGGGGCCTGCCTTGTGTGTTCCTGAGGTTTAAACCTCAGGCACCATACCTCAGTTGGTACAATATTGCAGATTCTGTATAATTTCCACATGGCTGGCATTTAGGAGACTCATTATCTCTGCATCTTTTTCTAGCCCTCATCAGAATACATTAAGGAATTCCTTACCCTCTTATGTGTGTGCCATACAGTTATTCCTGAGAGATGTGGAAATGATATACTCTACCAGGCTTCCTCCCCAGGTAGGTGTCATGTGCAAAGAAAGTGTGCACCTCATTGTGCCTAGTGGGTAATGAGGCTTCAGGAGAAGTTGCTGCTGCTGCTGATATCCATTATTCCTACCTCTTCTTTCCCTGAAATTCTCACTAGTGGGGATACACAGAACAGAGCAGCTCAGAGCCATTCTACAACCCTGGGGCTCCTTGTCTCTCATTTCAAAGATTGTTGTAAAGAGGCCAAGATGGGCTCTTGGGCCTGGAGAGCTGAGCAGTGTTTTGGTCATAACCAGGAATAAAACAGAGGTGAATTTAAGGCCCTGCAATATTTTATGAGGGTACTATTAATGTCATTGAGAACAAGCAAAATCATTATGTGTAGTAGTGCTGTTAGCTGGGTAAATTCATCTTAGTCCAGAAAAAGGCCCTATTTAACCAGATTTCTTCTTCATGAGCACTAGTACCTAGAAGGACAGATAAATACACTTGGATCAAAAAAGTCAACTTTAAAATATGTCAAAGTATTTTAGTATTGCAGAATGCAAATCTGTATTAAATTTGGTATGAATATTGCTTTATGCCTATTAATATGGACTATTTATTGACAGATGAAGCTGCTTTAGTGAAAGGAGCAAAAAAACTTGGCTTTGTTTTCACCACAAGAACACCTTATTCTGTCACCATAGAAGTTGTGAGTATGACACTGAATACTTTTGAATGTTTTACAGACTCCTGATTTTCAATAGAAGTACAGGTGTACCATGGTTCAGAGTAGAAATCCTGAAGATTCTGGGATTTCCTCTTTATCTCACCCCTTTCCAAACATTGGCCTCAGGGACCTTCTTTCGCTTCTCTAAGTTTGTCTTGTCTTATTATTGTGCATTTATGCAGGGTTTGTGAAGATTAGATGAGTTAATACATAGAGAGTGACTGGGATTAGTGTCTGGCACATAGAAAGTACACAGTTTAAGTGAGCTATTCCTAAGAGTTAAAATCATCGAAACTTTGAGAGATGTACTATGATTTTCTATGTGAAATTTACATTGTTTAAATATTTTTTGTGAATTCTGTTAGTATATTGATTTTTCATTTGAGTGTGTGTGTGTGTATGTGTGTGTGTATGTGTGTGTGTGTGTGTGTGTGTGTATATATATATATATATATATATATATATATATATATATATATACATATATATACCAGTATTTTTCTTTACCAGTATGAAGTGACCTTATTTGTCTCTTTTGATTAATTTTTGTTTGTAGTCTACTTTGTAAGATAAGAGAGTAGCTACTCCTCCCTATTTTGGGGCTCCATTTGCATGATACATCAATTTCCATCTTTTTACTTTCATCATGTGGCTGTCCTTGCCTATAAGGTGAATTTCTTACAAATAGCATATTGTTGAGGATTGCTTTTTAAACTCATTCTGTTAGCCTATATCTTTTAGTTGGAGAATTGAGACCATTTACATTCAAAGTTATTACCAGGAGATGTTTATTAATTCCTGAGATGTTTATTAATTCCTGCCATTTTGATTTATTTATGTTTAATTTTGTCCTATTTCTCATTTACTTAGCTACTCTTAAAATGAGATTTTTTTCATTTATGAACTCTGAGGGTTTTTTAAAATTTCTTCTGTGTGGAGTATTTCAATAAGTAAGCTCTATAGAGCTGGTTCAGTTGTCATGAATTCTTTTAGTTTGCACTTATCCTGGAAACTGATGAAGGAAGAAGAAACCTGCCCTGGGCTTCATGTATTATTCCATCCTCACAACTCCTTCAAGTAGATCTTCCTGTCCCCATTTTGCTGCCCTACCCTGTCAACTTGTGATATCCCTGGATACCGACAGGGCCACTACAAGTTCACAAGGTAGAGACTCTGCTGTTGAACTAAACTCAACCATTAAGGCTAGCCATTTTGTTGTACAACTCTGAGATTCTGTCTTCAAAATGGATTACTTTCAGAGACTTTCAGCTGAACATATATTTGATTTTGTCTTTAATTTCCAAGATTATGTTTGGTTCTTTTTCAATATTTCTATCTTTTTTATGGAATTTCTCATTCATATCCTATACTGACTTCCTTAATTCATTCAGTTGTTTTTCTTTGGTCTCTTGGAATCCATTGATTATTTTTATAATGATTCTTTTGAATTCTTCATCTGATATTTAATCCACTTCAATATCTTTGGAGTCAATTGCTGGTAAATTATAAACCAGAGGAGGTGTTGTGTTATCTTGAATTTTTCATATTTCTATGTTGAGTCTGGGAGATATTGTGTGGGCCTTTTCTGGACACAGTATTCACTTGCTAGAGTGATCTAGATTGAGATTCCTTTGTAGGTGTGGTATAGACAGCTTTTATGTTAATTGTCTGTTTTTGCTGTAATAGTAAATGACCACAGGTGGGACCTGGGGGCCCACCTCTATCTGTTTCTACTTGAGGCTTGGTTGTTAATTTTGTTTTTTGTCTCTTCTATTATTTGTATTAAAGTACAGCTGAAGATTGTTATTGATTTGTGTATAAAGCAAGATGCACTGTCTTTTGGTTGAGTTTAGTTCAACAGCAGAGTCTCTACCCTGTGAACTTGTAGTGGCCCTGTCAGAACCTAGGGATACTACAAGTTGACAGTGAGGGTAGGGCAGCAAAATGGGACAGGAAGATCTACCAAAGAGTTGTGAGGATGGAATAATACATGAAGCCCAGGGCAGGTTTGTTCTTCCTTCATCAGTTTATTTTTTTTTTAAATTTTGTATTTGTTCATTTTAGTAATACATGACAGTAAATGTGTTTTAGTTATACATGACAGCAGAATAGCATACATACAGAGAATATAACTCCCCTTTATTGTGGTTTTACATGATATACTAGTTGTGTATTCATATTTGAACATAGGAATATCATGTCTGATTCATTCTACTGTTTTTCCCATTTTCATTCTCCCTCCCTTCCTGTTACTCCCCGCTGTCCAATTCAGTGAACCTCCATTCCTCCCTCCCCGCACCTATTGTGAGTCAACATCTGCATATCAGGTAGAACATTAGGTCTTTGGTTTGGGGTGTTGGCTTATTTCACTTAGCATGATAAACTCCAGTTACATTTATCAGCAAATGCCATAATTTTATTTGTCTTTCAGGCTGAATAATATTCCATTGTGTGTATGTACCACATTTTATTTATCCATTCATTCTGTTGAAGGGCATCTAGGTTGGTTCCATAGCTTAGCTTTTGTGAATTGAACTGCTGTAAACATTGATGTGTATGCATCACTATAATATGCGGACTTTAAGTCTTCTGGGTATATATATCGAGGAGTGGGATAACTGGGTCAAATGGTGGTACCATTCCAAGTTTTCTGAAGAATCTCCATACTGCTTTCTATAGTGGTTGCACCAATTTGCAGTCCCATTAGCAGTGTATGAGTATACCTTTTCCCCACATCCTCATCAACATTTATTATTACTTATATTCTTGATAATTGCCATTCTGACTGGAGTGAGATGAAATTTCAGTGTAGTTTTAATTTCCACTCTAATTGCAGAGATGTTGAACTTTTTTATATATACATTTTTTGACCAATTGTATTTCTTCTTCTGTGAAATGGTCTATTTAGTTCCTTTGCCCATTTTTGATTGGGTTATTTGTTTTTTTGGTGTTAAGTTTTTTGAATTTTTAAATATATCCTGGAGATTAATGGTCTGAGGTGCAGATGAAGAGTAACTTCTGAGTGGTAGTAGTAGTAGTAGTAGAAGGTTGGAGAGATTTACAGTTAGGATCCTAGTTTAAGGAACTAGGTAAAGAAAAGGAAATGGAGACTGGCAATTGAAGAAACATGTTGATTTTTTCATCAATTGTCAGCTGGGGACTCTATGGAATTCTTTTGACTTTAGTTGTGTTATGTACTAAAGAAAATAATGATAATTTTCATATCGTTTTAGCAATAGAAAAAGGATGTCGATAATTGTACGGACTCCTGCAGGACATCTTCGGCTATACTGCAAAGGGGCGGTAAGTGTTGGGATTCATAATTCACATGAACTTTTTCTGTCCCTGCTCCACCAACTTGTAGAAAGTTGTTCACAACTTAACAATATCTTTAAATGGTGTTTTCTCTCTGCGGTTGCTTTTGGTTGTCAACAGACTAAAACTTCATTGCATGGTAGCCAAAGAACTTTCTCACAGCCAGAGTTCTGATGTGAGACACCAGAATGCTTGTTAAGCTTAACGTCAGTGATATGTTAGCTGTCATTTGGTTTTTTTATTGAGAACTAATGATAAGATTGTTTGTGCCAAGAATTTGTCATAGGAATTTTGATCCCAGTTTCACTTCAAAGTATTTGGATTTGGTACATGTCATGAATTTCTTTTAACCTTTGTAAATCTTTTTTAAAAAGTATTTATATGTTTATTTACCACCATATAAGTTTACTGAGGTATGATTAAAGTTTAAAGTTTACTGAAGTAAAATAAACTGTATATTTAAAGTGCACAAATTGTTAAGTTTTGATCCTGATTTGTTTTCTGTCATCATATATTTACATTCACTAAAATATTACATCCATGAAACAAGGATGTGTGTGTGTGCCTGTTTGTTGGGCTTCTTGCATTCTTAATCATACTGAGATTTGTCCACATTGTAACTTATACCAGTAGTTCACTTCTTTGTGATGCTGAGTGTTATTTTCATTTGATGGCTGTATCATAGTCTGCTTATCCATTCACCTGTTGGTGGATATTTTGTTTGCAGTTTTGACTACTACAAATAATAGTCCTATCAGCATTTGTGTGCAAGTTTCATTGGTTTTATTTTTATTGGATGTATATACCTAGGAGTAAAATGACGGGATCACATGGCAGGTATATGTTTAACTAAACTGTGGTTACACTCCTACCAGCAATCCTTGTCAATACTTTGTGTTGTTAGTCTTTTTAATTGTAGCCTTTTTATTTTTAATTGTTTATTTTACTGTGGCTTTTATTTACATTTACATACTGTGATGGGATACTGAGCTTCTTTTCTGGGGTTTATTTGTCATCTGTATTGGGTGTCTCCAAGACCATTCCTATGGAGATTTACTAGCAGGAATCATCAGACTCATCATATAGTTTCCTCATGGCTGAGATTTATAATAGTAGCACAGTAAGAATGCACAGACAGATCTTAAGGGGAAAGACATAGGTGGAGTCTGGAGGAATCAATTTCCATGGAGTCACAAAGGGAAAGTTTATATCAGTTTAGTGAATTGTATACCAGCCAAGTTCCTAGATGCCAGCCAAGGGCCAACCTTATAAGAAGGTGTTTCTGAGGATAACAGTCTCGAACCTAATATGTTAACTTTCTTGCATACCATCCACTTATTTCTTTGGTGAACAGTCTTCTTAAATATTTGATCTCCCTTGGTTAAAAAAAACTTAATTTTTTGGAGGTAATATTCCCTCAGCTTATATTCTTTGAAAGTGATCATAAAGAACATAAGTAATTGGTAGAATTTACCAGTACATTAATTTATGTCTAGTGCTTCTCTTTTGGAAGATTGATTATTGGTTCAATTTCTCTAATATATGTAGGACTATTCAGATTGTCTATTTCTTCATGTGTGAGTTTTGGCAGATTGCATCTTTCAAGAAATTGGTCTATTTTGTTCAGGCATACCTATACATTTGATATTTTTTATCTTCTCTCTTTTTCCTGATTGGCTGGCTAGACAGTTTATTAGATATATTGATTTTCCTCAAAGAAACTGATTTTAACCTTATTGATTTTTCTTGAAAGCTTTCTTACTTTCTATTTCACTGATTTCTACTCTTTATTTTTTTCCATAAATTTGTCTAATTTTTGTTTCATTTTCTCTTCTTTTTTCTAGCTTTCTAAAGTACAACTTGATTTGGGAGTCTTCTTTTCTAATGTAAATGTTCAGTGCTATAAACCTCCTCTATAAACCTACTGCTTGAGTAGCAGCTCACAAATTTTGATATATTACACTTTCATTCAACTCAAAATATTTTAATTTTTCTTTGGTTTCTTCTTTAACTCATGAGTTATTTTTAAGTGCTTTTTGTTTTGTTTCTGCTTTTCGTTTTTGTGATACTGAGGTTTAAACCCAGGACCTCACTTATACTATTCAAGTGCTCTACCACTGAGCTATATCCCCATCCCTTTTTATTTTATTTTGAGTCAGGGCTGGCCTCAAAACTTGTGATCCTCTTGCCTCAGACACCCAAGTAGCTGAGGTCATTACTAGAAGAAGTGTTTTGTCTTCACATATTTAGGAATTTCCTGGAGATATTTCTTGGATTGACTTATAATTTAATTCCATTGTATTCTTAGAACATTCTTGGTATGACTTGAATCTTTTAAATTTTATTGAGAGTTGTTTTATGGGTCAGGTTTTGGTCTGTGTTGTCAAATGTTTGGTGTGCCCTTTAAAATAATAGGTATTGGACTGTTTTGGTATGTGGTGTTTTGTAGCTATGGATTTAGATACAGTTGGTTGGCGCATGCACATAAACACACACATATACATATACACACACTCATATACATACATACATACATACACTTACTGGCTTTAACTATTTGTTCTGTCAACAAATTGAGAGGGGAATATCAAAATTCCAAACTATAATCGTTTTATACTTGCTCTTATTAGGTACATAAACTTTTGGGATTGTTATTTCATTTTGATGAATTGATCTCTTTGACATTGTGAAATGATTCTTTATCCTTTTTAATATTTTTTATTCTGAAATCTCTTGTTTGATATTAATATAAATGCCCCACATTTGATTAGTTTTAGTATGGTATATCTTTTTCTTTTCACTTAAATAATTTACATGAGTATGCTTCAGCGTGTTTCTTTTGGGGAGCAGGTAGTCGGTTCTTGTAGTTTTGAGTCATTCTGGAATTTTCTGCCTTTTAACTGAGGTATATAGATCATCTTTAGACTGTACTTATTGATATGGTTAGGTTTCAATGTATCATGTGGACATTTATTTCCTAGCTGTTCCATCTATTTTTCCCCCTTATTCTGATTTTTTTCTGACTTTTTTTTGGGATTACTTGAATATTTTGTGTTATAATTTCTCTTCTTTAAAAAATTATTAGTTTATACTAGGCATATTAAATTCATTATATTTTACCTACAGGTGATATTATATTACTTTAGTTATAAGAACCTTACAATACTATAATTCAGTTTGCTTTCAATCTCTGTGCTATTGTGGTTGACATTTTGATTTTACAAATATTATAAACCTCACACCACATTGTTATTAATTTTGTTTAAAGTTGATTATCTCTTAAATATAAATAATTGGCTAGAAATATAATCCATTCATATGGAAGCTGATCAGTCCATTGATACCTAATGTTCCTCAGCCTTCCCCCTCTCTTTCCATGAAAGTAATTCTTCCAATCACTTACAGTCTTCCCATTCAAGTAAGTTGATGAATAAAATATTCACCATTTTGTTATATGTTTCTAATGATCTACTTTCTATTTGTTAAGAATTTTCTTTTAATATGTAAGTAAACAAAATAGATGTTTTTATTGTTTTTCTCAGTCTTAGAACATTACAGGGAAGATCTCTGAATCACTAAATTCTACCTGAAATAATTATTCTATACTTGGTTTTTAATCACTTGGGGTGTATGTTGAACAGAGACCCACTTGGGCTGCTTTTATAGGTTTAGAGAAATAGTTTGCATTCAAATCATGCAGAGTGTGGCATTTGACTCTTCTCATTATTTCGGGTAGGTGTGCTTTTTTTTAGATTGTTAAAATTTCTTTGATAAATTTGAGGATTTGTAAGACAATGATATTTTTTTTTCATTACTCTCCCTGTTGTCTTCTCCAATGTGTAGGTCAGACTTAGTTTTATCCAAAGTGAAGAGAGATGCTCTTTAAGACTTATTTTTGGAATTGTGGCTGCTTAAACTCCTTTACACCTACTAGATTCAGCAATAAAATTATAAGGCACTATTTAGAATGTTGACTTAAAATCTTATATTCGATGTTAATTACAGGGAATCATTTTTTGTAGGACACAGTGATTTATGAGAGACTTTCAAAAGATTCCCTATTTGTGGAGGACACATTAAAACATTTGGAACTTTTTGCCACAGAAGGTAAGTGAGGTTGTTTAGAATCCATTTACTTTTGAAAATGTTGTTCTTAAAGGTTGTGATTATAACCTGAATGCATGTCACTGATGCTTGTTAGGCACACAGGTGGCATGCAGAGCTCTTTTATGTTTGTGACTTTATAATGCCTTCTGCTTTCTTGAAAGTAAATGGTTTCTCCAAGGAATCCTAAGATACCATTATTATTTCCCCCCTTTTTCTCCTTGTAATACTTTTGTGCTTATGAGCAAACAGTAAAATGTGTGTTCTTACTATGTATTTCATTATGTTTAGCTCATCATTATCTATTTCTGCAAGCTGTGTTGCCTTTTAGCTGGTTATATTAGGAACTTGGCCCATAGATGGAGAAAAACACAGGCTTTTCCAATATGTGTTATACATTTTGTAGTTAATTATTTCTATGTATAACTCAAAAGCCAACCTCACTGACATTTTTCTATCATTTTTCCCAATGTCTTTCTCATGTTGACTTATCATCTTTTAAGGAAATATAATTCCATGAGTGAATTTCAACCAAGGACAACATTCACTTAAAGCTTGGCAAAGACTTTGAAGAGCAAGATGAAATATCATTTAAGAGTAAAGCTACTAATATCTGGCAAGCTGAGGCTAACTTTGTCCTTTTAGTTTATAAGCTGCTGCTTCATATAGCCAAGCATATGTCCATCCTGAAAGTATGGATGTAGTTTGCAAAGTTGTACATTGGACCTTTTATTGCTATTAAAATATAGAAGTGCTGTAGGCAGACTGTACCACATACAACCATATGGGAGCTCTATTATAATTGAACACAAAACAGAGAAACAACTTCTGTGTTCTGTAGAGTCAGTTTGTAGGGAATCCTAAAGTATATAGATGCCAAGATAGCCTTGGCAAAGTATTATAGTATGGTTTTAAAAAAATTTAAATATCCCCACAAAATGGGATTTAAGTCAATTTTCTGTTGTTTTGGAGATTATTTGACAGTAACTGAAAACTTGAACCTTTGTTCATTCATTCATTTATTCAGCAGGTAGTTAATGAACATCTATTAAGTGCCATATACTCTCCTAAACATCTAGGATAATAGTGGAGCTCAAGCTCTGAAGGAATTTACAAGTAGATAATGTCAGGTGATTCCAAGTTCTACGAAGAAAAAACAGGAAAAGGGAAGCAGGGAAGGACGCAGGGCACTGTTTATCGGGTGATTTAGGCCCAGACTGAAGGAAGGAAGGGAAAATGAAGTGGCTTCCAGAGAAAGTGGAAGACTCTGAAAGTAAAAGGACCAGCAAGGATGTTACTGTGAGTAAGGAGGAGCAGAGGAAAGACAGCAAAGGGAGCCAGGAGCAGACTGGTAGGTCCATGTGAGGCACATCTAAAAGGCTTTTGAATATTATTTCTTAATGCTCCACTTGTGCCTGATGGCTGGCTGCTGATCACGTTCTTGCTTGCAGGTCTGAGGACTCTCTGTATTGCCTATACTGATTTAACTGAGACAGATTACCAAGATTGGTTGCAGGAGTATAAAAAAGCTAGTGCAATTTCACAAAACAGAATTCAAAGACTGGAAGAATGCTATGAGATTATTGAAAAGGTAATGTAACCCACATGCACTCTGCATGCCAAGATAAATATATGATGGAGGGCTGGGGTTGTAGCTCAATGGTAGAGCACTTGCCTCGCATGTGAGAGGCACTGGGTTCAATCCTCAGCACCACATAAAAATAAATAAATAAAATAAAGATATTGTGTCCACCTACAACTAAAAAATATTAATATATATTATAGAAATCCATTTGTCAGTGTTTTCATATCTTGTTGTACTTTTTAAAATGTGTTATACATTTTATAGGTTAATTATTTCACACATAATTATATATGAGGGTTTTTCTTTAAAAATATAAACCTGTTCTATGCTGAAATTCATAAAATATGTCTTAAAATATTTCTGTCTCTTCTGCATCATAGCCTAATCACTTCAGTTTTGTAACCCTTTTTATACCTTTTCCTATTTCAAAAGAAACACATATTCATTGTAGAAAAACAAGCAAAAATAATAAATAATCACTTATGTTGGGCTAATAAATAAGCTCTGGTATATAAGCTTCCAGTCTCTTCCTTTTCTTTATATAGCTTTGTATTATATATATTTAACATACACATATACAAACACAAGTTTTTCCCATGAATATTAGCACATCCTGTATGTTCTACTTGAGTCATGAATTTTTCACGTAATAAATTGGGAATGTTTTTCCACATCATTCAATATTCTTTTTTTTTTTTTTTTTTTTTTGTGGTGCTGGGGATTGAACCCAGGGCCTTGTGCATGTAAGACAAACACTCTACCAACTGAGCTATATCCCCAGCCCTCATTGAATATTCTTGTATGTTGTGAGCTCTACTGTCTGGTGGTTTCTTTTCTTCAGGGAAACATCATGTGCCCAGGATTGGAGAGCGTCCATCCAGGATCATTGTGAATCTGCTTCAGTTAAGGCCTCAGGGATTTCACAGGTCGTGGGCCAACCTTTATTTCAGTTTTTTGGCTTGGAATTCTTTTGTCCTTTGGCCCTGTGAACTCGGCATTGCATTTCTGGAGAAGTTTGGCTAGAAGATGATTAGGTCAGAATACAACAGTTACTAATATGGCATTATGTAAAAATGTGGATGTGTAACCGATGTGATTCTGCAATCTGTATATGGGGTAAAAATGGGAGTTCATAACCCACTTGAATCTAATGTATGAAATATGATATGTCAAGGGCTTTGTAATGTTTTGAACAACCAATAAAAAAAAAGAAAGAGTTGCCATCTAATCCAGCTTCACGCCAAGTGTATGGACTCTAAACTATCCCTCCTAAGTAATTAGTCAGCTTCTGCAGATAGATTGTAATGAAGGGGACTGGTGAGTGTGTAATCTATTTCTTCCTTATGGTTCCATTTTGGAGTCTCCGGTGGCGCATTCCCAATTTTTACCACAGGTCATTCATTTCTCCTACATACTGAGAAGAAATCTGGAAAATGATCTTCTGGAACAGAGTACAAGTATTATGGCAATAATTTTTCAATTAAATGGTTATATTTTAATTTATACTTAAAATATAGGGCAGGGGATTTATTGGGAAAAGAGTAAAGATGAGTAATAAAGTCATAGGATAAAGAAAATAAGAAGTAGGTTTGCTTTTCCTAGCATATGTAATGCCGATGGTAAAACTGGGAAGAGGAGTGATTTTGAATGTTAGGGTTTGCCAGTACAGCTTGAGCTCTCACACAGTGCCTGGCTGCAGGGAGTGTTCAGGAACGTTAGGTGAATGGATGAATGAATATTGGGGTTGAAAACTGCAAGTTTCTCTGCTATTCAAGGAAAAATAGTCATGTATAAGGAAAGGCTTGGTATTGATTTCCAGGGCACATTCTCTTCCTTAAATAATAAAAAGCAGGCGGCCCATGTCGAGCCAGTTTTCTCCCATCTGGTCTTGTGTGGTTATCTGGCCTGGGTAAAAGTCACATTTTTATATTTCCGATGTACTTGAATACCTGTAGTAACAATGAGTATGATACGATGCTGTTGTTAGGATTAACAAGCCTTTAAAAGGTCAGAGTGGAAATCTGATCAATTTTAGACAGTTTAACAAAGCAAAATCACACTACTTAAAAAAGTTCTATTTCTCAATGACTATATGATTTAAAAAATATAGGGTAGCATCAGTTCTCAAACATTCCATTACTATTTAGCCTGTCTGACAGAAGACAAGTTATCAGACTCTGTGATGCTAAAATCACATTGATAATCATCAAGTGTATTGACCACTATTTCTTCACTTTCCTGACTTGATATTTTTCATTTCCCTCAGAAGTGATGAGTTCCTTAGGGTTGAGTCATGCAAGCTAGACTTCTGTGGGGCTGGGAGCTGGATCTTGCTATTCATTACAACTCTGCCATGGGAGGCTTACTCTGAGAACTAGAGGAATTATTCATTGCCAGGCGCTGTGGCACACGGCTATAATTTCAGTGGCTCAGGAGACTGAGGCAGGAGGATTGTGAGTTCAAAGCTAGCCTCAGCAATGGCAAGGCACTAAGCAGCTCAGTGAGACCCCATATCTAAATAAAGTACAAAATAGGGCTGGGGATGTGGCTCAGTGGTTCAGTGCCCCTGAGTTCAATCC